ACTGAAAAAGGAAAAGGCTACTTCTGGTATTTCATGAAACAAAAAAGAAGATATAATGAATAATAACCAATTATTTAAAACTAAATAACAAAATTAGTACCTAAAAAAATCTGTCAGGTAAAATTAAAGTGTTATTTAGATGGAAATTTGTAGCTTTTAAGAAATATATTAGGAAATATTAGAGTTTAAAAATTAATAAAGTGCTTAGCTCAGTAAGTGAGATAAAAAGCAATAGAGAAAACCCAAGTAAAATAGAAGCAAGGATGTAGTAAAGACAAGAGCAAATATTGACAAAAAAGGAACAAATTAATGAAATTGAAGCTAGCTATTTAAAAGACTATAAAAACAGAAAAATATCTGGTAAGATTAACTGAGAAAAGAAGAAATAAGCAAAAATAAATATATTTAGGAAAAAATCATATCGGACATGTAAAAATTTTTACAGAAAACTTTATTTTAGTAAATGTGATAATTTAGATAAAATAGATAATTATTGAAAACTATGTAAAAAGAAAGAAAATATCGATGGTGTCTGTGGCTCAAAGGAGTAGGGCGCTGGCCCCGTATGCCAGAGGTGGCAGGTTCAAACCCAGCACCAGCCAAAAACTGCAAAGAAAAAAAAAAAAAAAGAAAGAAAATATCTAAATAGGCCAGTTAATATTAAAAGTAAACTTACTTACATATAGATTTTATCAGTCTTTCTCTAGAAAGACATGAGACCTTGTTGTTTTGTAAGTGAACTTTACCAGACACTCAGGGAAGAAATTGACCATTTTTTTAACAATTTTTTTTTCTGAGTAAAGGAAAGAATTCTACTCTTAGATTTTATGATATTAGTATTAGCTCAATTCCAAAACTGGAGAAAGATAATGCAGGAATGAAAAGATTATAGATCGCTTGTAATGAGATAGAGACAAAAATCATAAATAAAATATTAGCAAACTAAATTAGATAATTATTAAAAACTATGCAAAAGATGTATTTTTACATAGAAATGCAAAATTTCTTTAAGACTATAAAGAAATGCAAAATTTATTAAGACTATAAAGCCTATCATAATACCCTATAATATTAACAAATTACAGGAGAAAAATATATAATTACTTCAATTGATACTGTAAAACTGTTTGATAATATTCACTACACCACTATCATAAAAATTCTCAATTAACTAAATAGAAAAAATAAAAAAGGGTGTCCATTATCAAAATAAAACTATAAAGGTCTCAAATTTAAGATTTAAATAATATAAAGTATGTTGTCTAACATAACAAGATTACATTAGAAATTAACAAAGGAAAATATGCAGAAAAAAATCATCAAATTTTATTCATTTACCATGTAATTAATAACATAATTGGAAATAACTATGGGCCAAAGAAGAAATTACAATGAGACCTAGAAAACTAGAAAATACCATAAACTGATTGAAAATGAAATCACAACGTATCAAAATGTATGGGATACATACAACTAAAGCAGTTTTTTAAATGTTTATGGTAGGAAAAGAGGTGCCTCAAATCAATAAGACAATCTTCCAACAAAGAAACTTAAAGAATGAAAAGAGCAAAGTAAACCCAGAGCAATCAGAAGAAGGAAAGACTAAAATCTAAGTACATAGTTCATTGATATAGAAAATAATAAAAAAGAAAAATTTGATGCAGCTAAAATGTTATCCTTTGAACAGATTAATGAAACTAATGACTTGCTAGAAAGATGATGAGGTAAAAAAGGAAGAGGGTACAAATTGCCCTCGTGGAGAAGAAGAGTTGGCATCTCTATCAATGCTAAAAATAAAGAACGGACAATAATGAAATATTATAATCAAGTTCATGCCAAAGAAATCAATTTTGTGAATCTTTTTATTATCGTGACACTATAACTGAACAAAGATATTATACTTAAAAGACACTACACAACCATATCACTTAAGGATATAGACACAAAAATCATTGAGAATTTCTTCCACAAATCAAGTACAGCACACACAAAAAGGTCATAATGCATCATAACCAAAAGGTATTTATCCCATCAAACAAGATTAGTTTAGCCTTCTAAAATCATTCAATGTCATTCACTACAATAGTAGGCTAAAAAAGAAAAATTATCTCTATGGATGCAGAAATATATTTGCTAAATTTGATACATATTCATGATTAAAACTCTGCAAACTAGGAATGGCAGGGAACTTCCTCAGCCTGATAAAGGGAATCTAGCAGAAACTTAGAGCCAACTTTATACTTAATAGTGAAAGACTAAATGCTTCCCCCCCAAACAAAAACAAGCATAAATGTCCCTGCTCACCATTTGTGTTTATAATATTACTATTGGAGGTCTGAGCTTATGCAATCAGGCAAGAAAAAGACATAAACAGCATCCAAATTAGACAAAAGAAGCAAGATTCTTCATTAATAGAAATGTGATTATCTATAGCGTCCTCAAACTATGGCCTGTGGGCCACATGCGGCGTGCCTAGGACATTTATCTGGACCTCCGGGTGTTTTTGCCACCATTGTGTGTCCCGCTTAGCCGCCCACTCATCCCTGGGCCCACAGTCTGGCCCTCCAACTGTCTGAGGGACAGTGAACTGGCCCCCTGTTTAAAAAGTTTGAGGACCCCTGGTCATTCTGTAACTAATAAGTGAGTTTAGCAAAGCCAAGGATACAGTCAATGAATAAAAATTAAAAGTGCTTGTCATAGTAGAAAAGGACATTTAAAAATCAAAATAACAATAAACAATACCCTTTACTAGAATGTAAAAAATAAAAATGAAATACATAGGGACAAATGTAATGAACTATTTATAAGATCTGTGCATTAAGAGCTATAGAATACTGCTGAATTAAGTTAAAGAAATACGGAGATAAAACATGTTATGTATTGGAAGAGTATTGCTCAATTCAATATTATTAAATTCAACTATGGAATGAATAAAATCTCATCAAAATTCCAGTAGAAATTTTTTTTGAAATTGGAAAGCTGGATATATGCCTAATAGAGGAATTATAGGATCAAATAGCAGGTCTATTTTTAGTTCTTTAAGTGTTCTCCAGATGTCTTTCCAAAAGGAACCTATTAGTTTGCAATCTCACCAGCAGTGTAGAAGTGTTCCCTTTTCTTCACACTCACGCCAGCATCTGTGATTTTGGGATTTTGTGATATGGGCTAATCTTACTGGTGTTAGATGATATCTCAAAGTAGTTTTGGTTTGCATTTCTCTGATGATTAAAAATGGTGAGCACTACAAGATATTTGTATCAGAATGTTTATTGCAGCCCAATTCATAATTGCTAGGTCATGATAGACGCCCAAGAGCCCATCGATCCATGAATGGATCAATAAATTGTGGTATATGTACACCATAGAATACTATGCAGCCATTAAGAAAGATAGAGACTTTATCTCCTTCAATGTTTACATGGAGGGAGCTGGAAAATATTCTTTTTAGCAAAGTATCCCAAGAATGGAAGAAAAAGTATTCAATGTACTCAGCCCTACTATGAAACTAATTTATAGCTTTCATAGGAAAGCTATAACCCAATTTTAGCCCAGGAACATGGGGAGAGGGGAGAGGGAGGGGAGGGTGGATGGAGGGAGGGTGATTGGTCAGATCATGCCTATGGTTCATCCTGTAATGGTACATGTGAATCTCTCTAAATGTAGAATATAAATGTCTTAACACAATAACTAAGAAAAAGACATGAAGGCTATGTTAACCAGTTGGATGAAAGTATTTTGAATTGTATACAGAAACAGTACACTGTACCCCATGATAGTATTAATGTACACTGCTATGATTTAATAAAAAAATAAAAATAAAATAAAAAAGAAATTGGAAAGCTGATTCTAAAATTTATGTGGTAGTATAAAAATCTTAATAAACACTTCTTGAAGAATTATAGTACCTAAATTGAAGCTTACTATAAAACTATAGTAATCAAGCCATTGTGCTATTGGTGGAGAGACAGACATAATGGATCAATGAAAAGAATGGAAAGTGGAAAAATAGACCTTCGTATATATGGTCAATTGAATTTCAACAAAGCTGCCAAAGTAATTCCAAAGGGAAATAATAGCCTTTTCAACAAATGGCACTTGAACAATTGGATGTCCAGATAGAAAACAAAATGAAACCAAACACTTATAACACTATATAAATAATGAATTTTAAGTGAATTATACATGTAAATATGAGAGCAACTAAAATTGTAAAGTTTCTAACTCGAAAAATAGGAAAAAATAGTAGTGACCTTGAGCTAGGCAAGGATTTCGCAAAATACACAGAATAAACATGAAAAGAAAAAAATTGTAAATAGAACTTCATAAAAATTAAAAACTGCTGTTCAGGGTGGTGCCTATGGCTCAAAGGAGTAGGACGCTGGCCCCATATGCCAGAGGTGGTGGGTTCAAAGTCAGCCCCAGCCAAAAACTGCAAACAAACAAACAAACGAACTACTGTTCATAAGATAAGAAAATAAAAAGACTGGAAGAAAATATTTGCAAATTGTCAGTATTCATGTATAAGGAACTCCCACAACTCAATAAGAATAAGGAATAGAACCTGACTTTTAGAATTGTGTCTTTAGGAGTTGGGCTGACATTTTGCCAAGGAAGATATGGGGAAGGCAAATAAAAACCTGAAAAAGCACTCAAAATCATTTGTCTTTAGAGAAAAACAATTTGAAACTATAATTTAAAAACCAGTGTACATCCCCTAGAACATCTACATTTAAAATGACTCATACTACCAAGTATCCGTTGAAGACACAGATCACCCATAAGTCCTGCAGCTCTCGTGCATGGCTGCTAGGAATAAAAAACGATGCAATCATTTGAAACACAGTCTCTTAGAAAGTTATAATGTTTACCATATTGTAACTAGTAATCCCATTCATAGTTGGTTGCCCAAGATAAATGAAAACTTACCTCCACACAAAGACTTTGATGGTATTAAAACTGCAACACTCCGGCTATTGACTGCTCCAGCAAAGGCATTCGAAAAGCAGGAGGAAAGCTTCACCAATTTGTGTATCATCCCGTGCAGAGGTCATGCTAATCTTCTCTGTATCGTTCCAATCTTAGTATATGTGACATATGTATATTATGGAATACTATTCTGTTGTAAAAAGATGGAGACTTTACATCTTTTATGTTTACCTGGATGGAGTTGAAGCATCTTCTTCTTCTTCTTTTTTTTTGTTGCAGCTTTTGGCCGGGGTTGGGTTTGAACCTGCCACCTCCGGCATATGGGGCTGGCGCCCTACTCCTTGAACCACAGGCGCCACCCTGAAGCATATTCTTCTTAGTAAAGTATCTCAAGAATGGAAAAAAAGGTAAGCAATGTACTAAATACTATTATGAAACCGCTATATGATCACTTACACATTTATACGAATGATGAAACACAAATACAGTCCAGCAAGAAGGAGGGGAGAGGTGGGAGAGAGAAGGGGGAGGGGGAGGGCTAGTGGAGGGAGGAGGTGGGACCCTGCCTAATGTACACAATGCAAGGGTACATTTCAAAGCAACTAAGAGTAAATTATAAATGTCCTACCACAAAACATAAGTAAGTCAGGCTATAGTTATGTTAATCAGTTTGATTTAAGCATTCCATATTGTATATCAAATCATCACATTGTACCCGATTAATGCTTTCAGTCATGATTTGATAAAAAAAATTAAAAAAAAAGAAAAACAGAAGGAACAAAGATTATTCTGACCTTCGTGCTGTTTCTTAAAAGCAAAAGATGAAACTCCCATGTGAAAGATGGAACACCTTTATCCTCAAAGATGAGACATTGAGATCAAGAGAATTCTGTATAGGCCTTGTTAAGTAACTTTCATCTTTTAATTCTTTCTGCATAATTAGCTGCTTCTTCACAACTTACTATTCTTTGTCCAACTAATATATAAGTAACTGACTGTTTTTTTGGGTCTTCATTTTTTTAGGAATGGTTCTGTGCCATATGAACCTGGTATTAAATACATTTGTATGTTTTTCATCTATTAATTTACTTTATGTCAATTTAGTTATCTAACCTAGCCAGAACCTTAAAAGGATGAATAGGCTTTTGTTCACCTACAGCTTGTACTTGAACATTCATAGCAGCTGCATTCATGATCATGAAAGTACTGGAAACAAGTCGAATATTTATCACTGATGAGTGGATAAACAAATTGTGATATATTCACAGTAAAATATTACTCAGCTACAAAAAGGGTCATACTGCTGTTATAAACAACAACACCAATGAGTCTCAAAACCACTGAGCTAAATGAACAAATTGAGACACCAGATGAATTAGAAAAAATATATATATATGATATCTATATGCACAAGATCAGTAGCTGCCAGAGATTGTCGATTGGGGAGGAGATTAATTACAAATGGGCATGAGAGAACTTTTCAGGGTGATGGAAATATTCTATTCCATGATTGTGACTATGTAATTTGTCACAACTTATCAAATTGTACATTTAAAACTGGTGAGTTTTATTTTATGCAAATTATATCTCTCAACAAAGCTGATTTTAAGAAAAGATAGCTTAAGCAGTGTTGAAAGAAACCAAGGGCTGGGGGAATATAATTGTAACACATTTACCTAACCAGTATTAGTATACTGGAGTCAGAATCTGCTTCCCCCAGCCCCACAGTGTGGTAAGAAAGAGACAAGTAAAGCAGGAGAAAAGCAGGCAAAATATGAAGCACAAATCACAGAAGAGGAATCCTATAGGTCAATGAATACATTTTCACTGCAGTTTAAGGAAACCCAAATGAAAACATCAGACATGATTTCACTTCCTGTGGAATAAATTTTTTTTTTTAAAGTAGCAAATATTTTGCTACTTCATGCTGTACACAATTCTTCTTCTAGCTTCCTGATAGGTGTAGTATAGATAGGCTCTGAACTTGAACAATCACATATTCCACCAAAATGCTGGACTTTGAATCCTGAGCATGTGTTACCAATTGTGTAAATACAGGTATAGTTGTAGATATAAATATAGTTAATTATCTATCTTCCCTTCCAGAGTATAGTAAGCCTTATGGGTAAATGCTTTGTTTTATTTAGTATTCTGATCTCAGGACATAAGACAGTGCCTGGAAAGTAAGGGGATCAATGGGATACTAGAATGAAGACACAAGTGGCAGTGTCCTTGAGTACCAACAAAGGTGGCAGATGGGGTGACATCAGTAGCTCAGTGATGCTGGTTGCAGTGGTGTGCTGGTAGGAGGCACACTGCAGAGGTCCCATCAGGGGTACCCAGACGTATATTCTTTTGCTAATATTAGGTATACGATTTCAGCCTCCTGGCCTCTCCTCTAACTGCCCTTTTTCTGAGCCTGTATCTTCAGATTCTGTCTGTTTCTCTTGTCAATCCCCCAACATCCTTCTAATTAAATCCTTTTCTGCTTAATTTAATGAGAGTCAGTTTCTGTTGTTTGCAACCAAGACCCCTGACGATTATAGAGGCACAGCTGTTAAAACGAATGAACCAGATCTGTGTGTATCGACATGGATAAATCTTAAAAATAATTTTGAGTAAATAAAAGCAAGTTACAGAATGACACACAGATATGCAGTATGATACCATTAATGTAATTTTTTAACTTATTCCACACAATATTGTCCATCATTTATAAAAGAAAAGATATGTAAAATAAACTTTAAAAATATGAATGGGAAGGATACACAACAATTTCAAAATGCCAATGACCTCTAGGGAAAAATAGAGGGGAATGAGAAACGTGCAAAGGGAAATTGAACTTGATCTCTGATGTGTTAGTTAGTTTAAAGAAATCAGAAGCAGATAGAGGGATGTATTGGTTCCATTGTTATATCTGTGTCTGGGAATATGGACTTACTTTGACTGCTATTTGTATTTTAAATATTTAATAATTATTAAAAGAGCACAGACACTCTTTTGCCCCCTGCCTGCCAGCCCTCCCTCAATCCCCACAGTGACCTCAAGCAGAGACATCACCTTAGCACCAGTGGATTTTCCAAAGCTTAGCTTCAAATCCACTCATCAGAGTTAAGGACTCTCTCTCTTTGGAAAATGTGATTATTGTAGGTATAGCCACTGCTACCTCGGTTGTCAAAATAATCAAGCATTTCATAAAAATCTTAAATGGTACTTAGTGATTAGAAATTTACCCCCCAAATGGGATTAAGGGCATAATAAAATAGAATTGAATCTTTAATGTATAGTTTAACTGTTGATTTCATTGAAGCAATATAGAAAAGTCCTTATACATGTCATTAAAACATAGAATATAATACATCTTTAAATTTAATGTTTAAATAGTTGTTTCACTTTTGAAGTAGAAAAGCACAGTCTTTGTATTTTATCATTTTAAATGAGTGCCTTAGAAAAGACTACCTGTCAATTAAAGTTTAATATATACACACAAACACATATATACACAAATACGCTTGAGATTCATTGTGCTGTGTATATAACAATCCTCTTATGACCTAGCTAGAGTATAATGCTACACAATGCATCCTGATGTTTCTCTGAAAAGGCTGAGGGTCATGATGGGATTATATAAAGCAAAGCTCTGTGTAGAGATCTTGCCTGTGTTTTTAAGACATTCAACACTTTCTACAATGTTTTTCCTCTTTTGAAATTCAAAATACTTACAACTGGGTGTGAAAACCAGGAATTATGCCCATGATATACATCAGTCTCAAAAGATGGATGCTCAGAGAGAAATGTCCATCAAAAGTCTCACATCATTTCAGCGAAAAAGAAAAACTAAGATTCGGGTCCCTTGGCTATTCTTTTTGGCTTTTTTTTTTTTTTTAAAGATTTAATGATGTTGACTTAGCCCAGACTCCAGCCCTGTGACCTCTAGATTATTAAGATAACATTGCAGCTTAATTGAACAAACATTTAAAGAATGTTTTGTGTATGAAGGACTCTAAGTTAGGTCCTGAAAAACCAAAGACAAATAAAATCTCTCTCTATGCTCATAGTCCAATGAGTGATACAAACATGGACTGATCAGTTCTATTGAATTTTGAAAGGCTTATGGGAAATGTAAACACAATGAATGAATTATGGGAAACTCACCCAGGCTGGAAGGTTAGAAAGGCTCTCCTAGAAAAGGTGATGCCTGAGCTGAATGACAGCAAGTGAATAGGCATTAACCAAGATGAGAAGAAAAAAGAGGTCATTAAACACAGAGGCAGAAACATAAACTTAGGTGTGGAATGCAGGATGGGAGCTGACACTGACAAGCAACTTCATTAGAGGCAAAAAGAAAAATGAGATAGGAGGACTTTCGCTTTGGGTGTGGGCAAGGTCCTGAAGGAACATAACTATGGAATTCCTTCCCCAGAGCACTCTGGAGAAACAATGGAAGACAAAGAATGAAAACTGTTGAGATAGTCCTTATAGAAATTTTAATAACAGATAGTACATAATACCTAAATAAATGGAGAAATATACCATGTTCATAGATAGGAAAGCTTAAGATTATCAAGATATAAATTCTCCCCAAATTGATCTCTCTATTCAATGTAGTTCCAGGTACAGAACTTGAAAAATGATTTCTAAGACAGGTACTAAAGAATAAAAATTAAATCTGCAAATTTTCTAAAGCAAGAAGGGGTGATATCAGATAGGTCTATCTATTATAAAGCTATAAGCATCACAGGGGAATGGAAAGAGAGCAAAAATAGATACACTGACTAAAAATATGTATATACATGCGAAGGGGAAATTGGTATGCATTAGAGCAGCATGTGAGATTATGGAGGATAGAATAGATTTTACAAAATCAATTGAGAAAATGGTAAACCATATGTAAAACAGAAAATTGAACTTGAACCTCTGCTATATGCTACGTACAAAGGTAATTCTAGGTGGATTAAGGCCTCATGTTTAAGACAAAACATTAAGAGTCTTTGTAGAAAATAAGTGGAAATATGTTTTAGATCTCAAGGATTGAATAGACTTTTAAATCATATATGAAATTATTAACTGTTAAAAGGTAAAAATGTATCATATTAAATTAATTAAAACACACCTTAAAGAAAGTGAAAGGTAAGGTATTAACTAGGATGCAATAAACATATAACAAAGAATTGACATA